AGGTGTTGGGGGTGAAGGAAGTGTGGACCAGGGTATCCCAGAGGGAATGGTCCCTGCGGAAGGCGGACAAGGGAGGGGAGGGGAATATGTGTCTGGTGGTGGCATCTTGTTTGAGGTGGTGGAAATGGCGTCTGATCATCTTCTGGACGTGGATGCTGGTGGGATGGTAGGTGAGGATAAGGGGAACCCTATCGCTGTTGCGGGAGGAAAGAGAAGGGATGAGGACGGAAGTGCGGGAGATGGGTTGGACCTGGTTGAGGGCCCTGTCAACAACGGTGCTGGGGAATCCTCAGTTGAGGAAGAAGGTGGACATTTCAGAGGCTCCCTTGTTAAAGTCTGCTTTTTAACTTGTCTCATTTTACAATTGATGCCATATCATGTTAGGCTGGATAGCAGTTGAATGTTTTTGTCATCTGTCTGACAATAGTGTAATTCATTATCCCAGCTGTACACTGTGTATTGCTTTTGGAACTACTCATACTTAATTATCTACAAACATGCCTTTCATACACCATGTTTTCTTTCTTTAAAGATAAACCCCTGGCTGTTGTTTGTTTTGAATAAGTTACCTTGATATCAATTTTTTCATACAAGAACACAGCAATGCAGTACATTTCCAACAGTTTGCTATCAGATTATTTGCTTATGTAAAATGCACTGAAGAAGAAAATGAACATGATAAATCTGGCTCTTGATACTTTTCCAAACTATACAAAGCCTGCTTCACTTCTGAAAGATTATTCAAAATGTGTTCAAGCATGAGAATAATATGAGGACGTTCATTGTTCTGAGACAATTTCCATAATGATCCATTATTGTCCCATTCACTTCACTGCAAGTCTGCAACTCTGTGTTGTGTCTGCTTGCTACCACTGTATTGGTACTACTGCCACTGATAATGTTTAAATAAGTGACCTCGAATTTCCAAGATCCACATCTTGGACTCCCTTATTGCTGTACTCATCCATTGCCTAAAGGCAAATATCTTCTTCATTTTTCTATGGGGACAGTTCAATGCAAACATGTTGTGTTGGAAGAAGCCAAGATTACGATGAAAATGCATTCCTTAGAATGATCCATTTTTCATTCCTGCAGCTTACACCATGCATTTCTACATCATGACCACTTATTTGAAATTGTGGCTAATGTTCCAAAGGAGATCTTTGGGTATTTTTTTTTTCTTGATGTGCTATTCTTACATCTATCCCCACTACAGAATTCTTTTGTAAAAAATGGATTTGAACCATGTATTAAAAATTGATGCTGGCAAATCTGAATCAATTAAATCTCTCATGTTCTTGATGTAAACAAAATTGGTTTTCATTCATCCGAAAATTACTTTAGGAAAGTAAAGCCTGCCCTCCCATGTTATTTCGTTCAATAGTAACACCTGATAAGTATTAATGTTTTATGTTGTCCTTGAATGGAAAGTGAAATTGTTACATGGGCTTTCACCAAGTATAACCGGTGGCCTTTTGACTGGGCCAATTTAATAGTAGCTCAAATGCCCTTATGGTTAGAAAGAAAAAATGATGTGTTGTCAAATTTTTTAAAACTTGACAGGTTAATGTTGTAGGGAGAGAGTGCTGAACTGAAGCGTGCTTTAATCTGAGTCATGGCCTTTTAGACCTAGATGCTGCTCTTATTTCCATTGATCGGACTTTGCTTCAAGTTCATGTTGTTAAACTTTCCTTTTCCAGCCTGTTACTGTGACCGTCAAGGGGCCATTGATTCAATTTGTGATCAGCGAACTGGACAGTGTCGCTGCCACAGAAATACCATTGGCCGTGCCTGTGACCGCTGCCGGCCTGGATATTATGGATTCCCAATCTGTCGTCCATGTCAGTGTAATAGTCATTCGGAATCCTGTGATCCTCAAACAGGAGCCTGTCAGAACTGTAGAGCTTTCACCACTGGAAATAACTGTGAGCGGTACGGAGCTGTAACGTTATTGCTGGTTTAATGATGATTAAGATTAATTATAAATGAAATCCAGGCAGCGACGTCAGAGGTACCTATTTGTAAGTGGATTACATAGAAACATAGAAGATAGGAGCAGGAGGAGGCCTTTCGGCCCTTCGAGCCTGCTCCACCATTCATCACCATCATGCCTGATCGCCCAACTCAACAGCCTAATCCTGCTTTCTCCCCATAATCTTTGATCCCATTCGCCCCAAGTGCTCTATCTAGCTGCCTCTCTAATACAATCAATGTTTTAGCATCAATTACTACCTGCAGTAGTGAATTCCATAGGCTCACCACTCTTTGGGTGAAGAAATGTCTCCTCACCTCCGTCCTAAATGGTCTACTCCGAATCCTCAGGCTGTGACCCCTGTTCTGGACACACCCAACATCAGAAACATACTCCCTGCATCTACCCTGTCTAGTCTTGTTAGAATTTTATAAGTCTCTATGAGATACCCCTCATTCATCTGAACTCCAAAGAAAACAATCCTAACCTAGTCAATCTCTCCTCGTACATCAGACCCGCCATCCCTGGAATTAGCCTGGTAAACTTTTACTGCACTCCTTCAAGAGCAAGAGCATCTTTCCTCAGGAAAGGAGACCGAAACGGCACACAATATTCCAGGTGTGGTCTCACCAATGCCCTTCTAACTGCAACAACACATCCCTGCTCCTGTGCTCGAAACCTCTCACAATGAAGGCCAACGTACCATTTGCCTTCTTTACCGCCTGCTGCACCTGCATGCTTACCTTCAGCGACTTGTTTTGGATATGATGGAAAACACAGTTACTCTATAAATGTGGTTGCCTATGATGCCACATAGCACAAATAGCTGTGGTCAGCAAACAGTGCTTGCTATCAATAGTATAGATGGCACAAGATTTTGCCAGTCTCAGTATGCTATTGGTTTAGAGGGGTATAGCGCAGAAACAGATGTCCTTCGGCCCACTGGGTCTATGTTGGTTTCTTTGCATTACTTCTGCACTCTATCTAACAGCATTATATGATTTCTGTAAGTGGGGCACTTCCATTCCTAGTGCCAACTTCAATACTGGTAACAAAATGCTTCTATTATCATTAGTTAGCAGGTTAGATTGAATCTTTGTGTTCTGACCACCAGCAGGATATAACATAAATGCCTCTGCTTCTTCACACAATGATTGCTGAGACAGGAAAATGGGTGGATAAATCTAGTCCATAAAGTGTTCTGTTGGGCTGCGTTTTGTGCTCCTAACATTTCCAGGGTTGTCATCATAGATTGTTTTCTGCTGATGTGAGTTGATTCAGGAAGCCTTTCAAAATGGCAAAGAGTGCCCAATTCCCCACTCCATTCCCAGGGTTTCCAGTTTTTCAGACTGTCTCATAACAATGGGCGATAGTTGAGATCATTAGCCTGTGGCTGGCTCCATTGCAGAGATAGGCATGGCCTGCACCTTCACAATGTAAAAGGAGCGTGGCTCACAGCACATCAGAATTACAGTCTGTATGAGGGAATCTTTTGAAAAGATGGCTATGCCCCTCATTGCAAGGTATGGTCCACATGGTCCTTCATACACCTCCCCTCCTCCCCCTCATTCCAAGATATGGTACTTCCATCCTCATTCAAAAACCCTACACTATTCAGAAGCAAATAACCCTTAATGGCAGTGGACGTGTAAGAGAAATGTTAATCATTTGGAGTTTCTTAAAATTAAAAAACTTTTAAAGTTTCAAACCCTGAAACCATAAGGAACTTGAGACCACGCAATCCCGTTCAAACAATGATTGTGAAAATGATAGAGATCAGAGCTGTCAATCGAGTTGGGGGATGTAGTTGTTTCAATAATGCAATGGTTGTATGGGTTCTCAGACAAGTGTACATAATGAGGCTAAGAGACCAGGCAACCAGTGGAGACCCGAAACACTTGAGTCGCTAAGAATGTTTGCTGATGATGTACAATGTTCAGCACCATTTGTGACTCTTCAGATACTGAAGTAGTATCCTTGCCACAAGACTGGCACAATATCCAGCAGAAGCAATACTCATGCCACACAAGTGTCAGGTAATGATCACCTCCAATATGAGTGAATCTAACCTTCACCCCTTGACATACAATGGCAATACCATCATTCAATGTCCCACTAACGACATCTTAGGGGTTACGACTGAGCAGAAACTGAACTAGGTCAGCCGTATAAATACTGTGACTTCAGGAGCAGGTCAGAGGCTATGAATTTTGATGCGATTAACTCACTGCATTCCCAAAGCCTGTCCATCATGCAGAAGGGATAAGGCAGTATGGGGAATGCTTTCTATTTGCCTGGATAAGGGCAGCTCCAACACCCAAGAAGCTTGATACCATCCAAGACAGAATGTCCAGCTTTAACATATATTCACTCCATCACCAATGCACAGTAGTATTAATCGATACCATTTATAAAACACGCAGCAGAAATTCAACAAGACTCCTAGGACAGCACTTTCCAAATCAATAATCTCTACCTCCTAGGACAAGAGCACCAGATGCATAGGGACATCAGGTTAGCTGCACATGTTCTTGCCTTGGAATTAAATTGTGGTTATTTCACTGTTCCTGGGTTAAAAGCAGGAACTGTTTTCTCAACAGCCCCGTATGAGCACCTATCCCACATTCATGAATGCAGCTCACGATCTCTTCAAGGGCAGTTGGGGAGGAAAAATAAATATTCTCCAAGTCAGTCACACCCACATCCCATGAATGAATCAAAATGATAAATCAGCATGATTTCTATTATTATTCCTGTTTCCTGGAATGTTGGTGAATGTTTGCAAAAGTTTCTTTATATGTGAGTTAAAACTCCATTTCTGTCTTGGCAGATGCAGTGAAGGTTACTTCGGAAATCCAAGTTTAAATGAACCTTGTCGACCATGTCAGTGTCCTGACATTCCAAACAGTGGCCGCTATTTTGCCCATTCATGTTACGAAGACCTTAGAACTCGACAATTAGTTTGTAACTGCCTTGAAGGCCATTCAGGTGTGAAGATTATTCCGTGTATTCTAGTTTACAGTTGTTGATAAAACTGGCCTAAAATCATTTTCTAGGAGCTTTTAAGGTGCACGTTTTCCTCTCCTGATTACCTGGACCTGTTTTTAACTTCCACATTTGGTCAACACACCATTAGCAGGTGGCATTTTCATATCAGTATCAGAAAGCTGTGTGGACACATTGTATTGTGTTCTATTACTGGAGTGATTACTCGGGTAATCTCTTCCAAGTAATATCTTTGGGCCCTGGCACCAATGCTATTCTCCACACCTAATCCTGACATTCATCTGAGGCTGAACTAGACTCTTTGCAATGTTGGTGCCATATTTAATGCTGAGATGAGCTCTGATGTCTATAAGACAGTCTGTTGGCAGCTCCATAACACTGTAATCACTCATGTCTGCCTCATCTCAGTTCATCTGTTTCTAAAACCCTCATCTTTCTGTTTTTATTCAGAGACTTGATGATTGCAGTACACCAATAGCTGGACTTCCATCATCTACCCTACATAATCTTGAAGTCATCCAAACAATATCACAATGTTAGCATTCTCATCCATGTTTTCAAATCCCTCCATAGCCTCAGACCACTCTAGGAACATAGTAACATAGGTAGGCCATTCAGCCCCTCGAGCCTGTTCCACCATTCAATGAGATCATGGCTGATCTGCAGCCTAACTCAATTTATCTGCCTTTGGCCTTTATCCCTTAATTCCTTTGCCTGACAAAATATTATCTTTCTTGGATTTAAAATGTCTACTCTCTGTAATATTCCCCAGCCCTGCCCAGATGGCATAAGATCACTGCTGAAGTTAACATGCACTCCAAAAAGGCATGTGGTCCACAGGTATCTGCACTCCTACTCCTCAGGTTTCATGAGCAGAAACAATTTTAATGAATTCATCATTGCCATTCTTCAGCTGTAAAGTCTGGAAACTTTGGAATCTTGACTGTAAACATCATTATTTTCCATTCCTCCTTCAAAACTTTATTTAAAACATAGCTCTCCAACCAAACATGTGGTCATTGCCTTTGTTATTTCCTTACATAGTTCAGTGCCAAATTATGATTAATAATACTTCTGTGAAAAGGTTTGGCATATTTTACAAGTAAAATGTGCCATATAAATGTAATTTGTTTGTTAGTGTATGTTATTGAAGTTTGCTGTGATTGTTACAACTGAGAAACTAAGATGAATAAATTATACAAAAATTATGTTTGTATCTTAGTATACTTACAATGTGGAAACAGGCCCTTCGGCCCAACAAGTCCACACCGACTATCAGAGCATCCCAGCCAGACTCAATCCCCTGTAACCCATCTAATCTACACATCCCTGAATACTATGAGCAATTTCGCATGGCCAATCCACTTAGCCTGCACATCTTTGGACTGTGGGAGGAAACCAGAGCACCCAGAGGAAACCCACGCAGACACAGGGAGAATGTGCAAACTCCACACAGACAGTTGCCCGAGGTTGGAAGGGAACCTGGGTCCCTGGCGCTGTGAGGCAGCAGTGCTAACCACTGAACCACCATGATATTGAATATTTATGAAATGATTGAATATGAGTATATTCACACTTAACAAGTGTACAGATCAGACAGTTGGCAGCACCGTTACAGTTACGGTCCCGTTTCTAACCTGCATTCCCAGCAACTGTGAACGCTGGATGTCACATAAGGATCAGAAAGTTACATTAAGGGAGGGGTTTGAGGGATAGGAGTGGAAAATGTGATCTGATAGCTAACTTAATAATTTTCACAACTATAATAAATTTGTTGCATATTTATTTGCTGGAGCAATGTATTTAATCTGTAGTTCACTTGATATCTAGGTTTATCACCATGGTGACATGTCTATATCTATGCTGGTATTAAACTATTTGTGTCTTCCTGTTCAGGAATTCACTGTGAGAGATGTTCTCCTGGATTCTATGGTACTCTGATAGGAATTGGAGATCGCTGTTTGCCTTGCAGCTGCAATGATAACATTGACAGGAGAGGTCCAGAGTCATGTGATCAGCAGACGGGCGAGTGTTTGAAATGCCTGCATAACACCTATGGACCAAACTGCCAGTACTGCAAACCAGGATATCATGGATCTGCTCTGAACAAGGATTGCAGACGTAAGATTCTCAGGAGGTTAATTATTTCAGCTGGTTTGTATACAAGTGCTCAAGTTCTGGCTCAACACATCCTAAAGACAGTCTCAGTGTAGAATTTCTCGAGCATATTTGCAACCTAGGCTTTGGAGTGAGTGATGCAGATTCCTGTGTACTAACAACAATTACTGAAACTGACAGACCCAGTGAAAATATGAGAATTCTAATGTACAGAAATTCAGCATTTTTGCACTAGAAGCAGGGTTGAAATGTGTTTTGCCACTGTTAGCCTGCTAAGGTATCTAGTTATAAAACTGGTAACTTGCTAAAATTCTTGCCCAAATGGCACATTCTGCCAGAGAGTCATACAGCACGGAAACAGACCCTTCTGTCGAACTTGGCTGCGCTGACCAGACATCCCAATCTGACCTAGTCCCATTTGCCAACATTTGGCCCATTTCCCTCTAAACCCTTCCTATGCATGCACCCATCCAGGTGCCTTTTAAATGTTGGAGTTGTACAGCCTCCATCACTTCCTCTAGCAGTTCATTCCAAACACACACTGTCCTCTGTATGAAAAAGTTACCCCTCAGGTCCTTTTTAAATCTTTCCCTTCTTACCTTAAACCTGTATCCTCTACTTTTGGATTTCTCTACCCTGGGAAAAAGGCTTTGACTTTTCACCCTATCCATGCCCCTCATGATTTTATCAACCTTTATAAGGCCACCCCTCAGCCTCCAATCCTCCAGGGAAAATAGTCTCAGTCTATTCAGCCCCTCCCTATAGCTCAAATCTTCCAGACCTACCAATATCCTTGTAAATCTTTTCTGCAAGTTTAACAACATCTTTTCTATAGAAGGGCTACCAGAATTCTACGCAGCATTCTAAAAGTGGCCTCACCAATGTCCTCTACAGCCGGGGAAACACTTGATAAGAGCCCAAGGAGTTATCCGCCTTAATGCATTTTAAAACATCCAGCACCTCCTCTTCTGTAATATGAACTTTTCAAGACATCAGTATTTATTTCCCCAATTTCCTTCCATGTCCTTCTCCACAGTAAATAAATACTGATACGAAATACTCATTTAGTATCTCAGCCCTCTCCTGTGTTTCCACACATAGATGGCCACGTTGATCTTTAAGGGGCCCTAATCTCTTCCTAGCCACGCTTTTGCTTTTAATGTACTTATAGAATCTCTTTTGATTCTCCTTAACTCTATTTGCCAATGCTATCTCATGTCCCATTTTTGCCCACCTGACTTCCTTAAGTTTACTCCTACTGCCCTTACACTCCTTGTGGGATCCACTTGATCCCAGCTGTCTATACCTGACGTATGCCTCCTGTTTTTTATGACCAGATCCTCAATATCTCTAGTCATCCAGCATTCCCTACACCTACCAGCCTCGACCTTCACACTAACAGGTACGTATTGTCTCTGAACTCTCATGATCTCATTTTTAAAGGCCTTCCACTTACCAACCATTTCTTTACCTGCGAATAGCCTCCCTCAATCAACTTTTGAAAGTTCTTGTCTAATACTGTCAAAATTGTGCTATTTTTGTCCTGTTTCTCAACCAACTGCGATATTTATCCAGTGAAGTGTCGTCTGTCTCAGGAAATCTTGCAACACATTAAAATCTGTTATAACCTTCAACCATCACCATAATGAGCTACATAGTAGCTAAGTGGATTTTCAATAGCTGAAATTTTATTGTCCCATTTTGTCCTTTGGTAGCATTGATGGGCCAGACTGATTGGTTTGAACCTTGGTTTTTGCAGTTATATGTTGTAGTTCTAAATGTTTTTGGTTTTAACAAAGCAGCATATATATAACAGCATCCATGAAAAAGGATAAATGTAATCCACTTTCTTTGGTGTATACAGTAAATAAGATCCAAACTTACTGATCATGGTTGCATTAATAAATTTGGAAAAAATACATTCATACATACTTTGATAAAGTTGTCAAAATTGTCCTTTTTTTGAATTGCTCATTTGATGTGAATGTTACTGGAAAAGCCAGCATTTTATTGTTCATCCTCAATTATCCTGGAGAAGGTTTAGTGAGGTTTAGCAGCAAGTAATAATCAGCTTATTGCTGAAGGTTTTCAGGGAGAACACTCCCAATTCTGTCATAAGTCTAGATGTTCGTGAGAAGGACTGTGCAGGATCGATGGTATACTGTATGCATTTACATCTCTGCTGCAGAAGTCAATGCTGGATGATCCATCCAGTTGCATCTGTTTGACATAAACTGCATAACTTCTTAGACCATCAGAGGACAGTTAAGAGTCAGCCACAATGCTGTAGATTTGGAGACACACTGGGTTGGACAGCAATAAAGATAGCATATATTGTTCCCTGAAGGAAATGGTATAATCCCAGCTGAGGTGACTACTGGACAAGTCAGATCCCTGGATTGAAGTCTGACCTGACAGTTTGTATTTTGTATTTTTAAATTTAACATGGCCAAAATTAATTGAAAGACAAGCATGCCAGGCTGCAGATTTAGATTTAATAATAGAACAGGAGTTTAGTACACAAAAGAAATAAAATATGACATAAAACAAACCAAGCTATTTACATATAACCGAGTTCAAAAGATTTCAGAACACAAGACAAGACACAATCCCATCTCCTCCCCATAACATCATATCACAGTTACTCAAAGAATCCAGAGGAATTCTAGCTTTGTGAGCTGTGAAGAATTTTCCCTTGACCACTCACACAAATCAGAGCTTAGACTTTTTCAGCCTTAATAACCTGCAGACTTTTAAACAAACAGTCCTGGGTCTGCAAGTTTCACAAACTACACACTTTCACAGAGGTAATTTATTTCCTTAACTGCTCCAAACATTCTCCATTTTCCGAAAGAGACCGTACATCCAACTGCGATCAGGTCATTTTCAAACTGCCCAACTCAAACTCTACTAAATTACATAGATTTCCTGGAGTCTAGTAAGTTCATTGCTTGATGTTTTCTCACTCCTGTCTTAAACACACACAGCAAAACAAATCCTCATTTATACTCTAGGAGATGCATAATGTATTAAAATCATGGTTCCAGAAGATTGAGCTCTTAATTGTTAAACTTTGTCACCAAAATCCTTTGTCAGGATGACAAGACTTGAAATGTTATCTTTGTTTTTTCTCCTTGCAGATGCTGCCAGACCTACTAAGTTTCTCCTGAACTTTTTGTCTGTTTCAACGTATCTTGCATCTGCAGTTCTTTATTTTTATTAATGAACCAGCTATATTCTTTTGATAACTTAGCAGTTTCATGGTCATCACCACTGAGACTACCTTTCAAATGTGAGATTTATTATTTGGATGAAGGGCTCGTCATCTGAGGAGTAGTTGAGGGTCTGTATTTTATCGAATTTAGAAGAATGAGGGGGGATCTCATTGAAATTCACATTGAAATACATTGATCTCACAGAATACTGAGAAGCCTGGATAGAGTGCATGTGGAGAAAATGCTTCCTCCAGGTAGGAAACGTGAGGACCCAAGGGCACAGCCTCAGAGTAAAAGGATCATCCTATAGAACTGAGATGAGGAGGAATTTCTTCAGCCAGTTAGTGGTTAATCTGTGGAGGCCAAGTCATTGAGTGTATTTAAGACAGAGGTAGATAGTTTCTTGATTAGCAAGTGGATCAAGGGTTACGGCAGAAGGCAGGAGAATGGGGTCGAGAAACATATTAGCCATAATTGAATGGCAGAGCAGACCTGATGGGCCAAACGGCCTAATTCTGCTCCTGTATCTTATGGTCTGTTGGTCTTAAATTCCCTAGCTGCCATTGTGGGGGTTGCAGAGCATTTGCTAGGCCTCTGGATAAACCAGTTATGTTACCTTACATGTTCCCTTCCTGAACGTTATAGTACATTGCTAAAGCTGGACAGTTGGGAAAATTGTTGGAGTTTGTAATCAATGATGGGGTAACTGAACACCTTGAAAATTTTTAGGTACTCAGAGAGAGCCGGCGTGGATTCTTGACTGGTAGTCAAGTCTAACAAACCTCATTGAATTTTTTAAAGAGGTGACTAAGGTAGTGGACAGGGGAATGTCTATGGCTGTTGCTCATATGGACTTACAGAAGGCATTTAATAATGATCCATTATTGTCCCATTCACTTCACTTTAAGTCTGTGTTGTGTTTACTTGCTGCCACTGATAATGTTTAAATAAGTTACCCAGAATTTCCAAGTTGTTCATTTTAAATCTGCGATAGATAGTATTTTGTTAAGTGAAGATGTTAATGGATATGGGCCAAAGGCATGTGTAGGGAGTTAGGCCATAGATCAGCCAGGATCTCCTTGAATGGCAGAACACACTCCAGGGGCTGAATGGCCTACTCCTGTTCCTATATATTTTTCAAGCCTGTACGTCAGCAGCAAAGACTGAGGTGATGGCAGAATGCTAACATGCTACCTATGAAATAAATTGGTTATCGTTCTGTCATACTAGAGAAGAGCAATGACCATATGTCAAAAATCATTCATGTGATATGAACCATTTAGTGACATTATATGAATGTCATTACAGTTATAAACAGTTTTTTCACATGTTTAATCTACCCTGCTATTAAATTATGTTTCAGAATGTACTTGCAATGGCATCGGACTCGACAGGGGGCACTGTGTTCCCAATGGTTTATGTATGTGTGATCAAGCAACTGGTCAGTGTCCATGCTTACCAAATGTGGTTGGTACCAGCTGTGAGAGATGTGCTCCGGATTTCTGGAATCTGCACAGTGGAAGAGGATGTGAGCCTTGTTATTGTGACCCTCGGAACTCCATCAGCTCCCAATGTGACGAGGCAAGAAGGAAATTTGTATATTTAATCAAAAGTATAAAATCACTGAAAGTGTAAAATATTCTAATATTGGACAAAATGTGGAGAGCCATTTCTGAAACAAAAGATTTGGACATGCCATATCTGTTCAACAGAGGGAACCATTGTCATTTATAAGCAATGGGGTATTCAATCTCGTGTCATCACATGAGCTAGAACATTAACTTAACTGACAATTTAAGAACCTGCATCTTACATTTCATTCTAACCTATTTTTTAATTGCATATTTTTAGCTCACTGGACAATGTCAATGCAAAGATGGCTATGGTGGAAAAGCATGTTCTGAATGTCAGGATAATTATTATGGCAATCCAAGGATACAGTGTATCTGTAAGTATTTACTTCCCTAACAGTGTGTATTCACAGGTAGTTTGAATTCTTCAGTGAAATGTCAGAGATTTAGGGCATTGCTTGAACCAAGAAATCAAAAAAGGAATTGTGATTAATTTTGTTATGAGTTAGGAACCAAAAAACTATTAAATGTATTTGAGCACAACCTACATCAGTGCAGGTTTTGCCACTAATTTTCCAAGATTGATTTGTCTGTCAGGTTGGCTGTAGAATAAAAGCAGATTGGTGATGAGTTTCAATTAGTAATCCATACTTAGTACAGTCTACAATCCATTATTAAAGAGTTTCAGCTCTTTTGAAAATCAGCCCAAAGGGAAAAGCCAGTAATACTTCAAAACAAATGTATGAGTTGTAGTGGATCCATTTTGAGCATACATGAGGAGCCAGACCAATAGGTCTCATTTGCCAGTGTACTTTTTCTCTTCTGGGATAGTATTTTGAGGACTAACTTTACCTTTATCTTGTTTGTATCTGTCTGCATGTGTCTTGCTTTTTGGGACTATCTTCATAAAACAAATGTTAATAAATGCTGTTAGTCACAGAGAAACTGAATTATTAAGGCCTACCATCTCCAAACATAAAACAGCACAGTCAATGAAACAATTTGGAATGGTGAATTGCCATCTTTGGGAATAACAGGTGACTGCCAAAGGAAAACAGTAGCAATAAGCTGATGAAATCCCACACATGGCTGATTCAATCAAATGCAGCTCCTTCACAATGCACAGTCCACAGAGGTCTACAGCATCAGAATCCCAACAGGGTTTCATTATAGGAGGGCTGTGATGGCACTGGAGAGGGTGCAGAAGAGATTTACCAGGATGTTGCCTGAGCTGCAGATTTTTGGTTATGAAGAAACAGCAGACAGACTGGGGTTGTTTTACTTGAAGGAGAGGAGACTGATGGGGAAATGATTGAGATATATAAAATTATGAGGGGCATAGATAGGCTAGACATGAAGAAAGTTTTCACTTTGATGGAAGGATCAATGAACAGAGCCATAGATAGGATAGGAGGTTTGGAGGAGAGTTGAGGAAATTATTTTCATCCAGATGTTGGTGGGAATCCGGAACTCCCTGCCTGTACAAGTGGTAGAGGTAGAAACCCTCATAACATTTAAGAAGTATTTAGATATACACTTGTGATGCCAAGGCATAAAACGCTATGGACCAAGTGTTGGAAAATGGGATTAGGGTAGATAGGTGCTAGTTTTTGACAAGTCGATGGGCCAAAGGGCTGATTTCAGTGCTGTGGACTTCTACAACATGAGCATCCAAGGGACAGCTGAATGAAGAAGGGGAGCCAGTCCATCACCTCAGCTGGGATGAACATTTTGGGAATTTGTGTACTTATATGTATGTTATAACTCACTAGATTCATGCAAATCTACCCCTGCTGTACCAAGGGTCATCACAAAAGTTCCAAAGTTTCCAAAAGAAATATGCAAAATCCCCAAACTTCCTGATTTTCAGACCTAGGTTTATAGAAAGCACAGACCAAGTTTCTGCACCTAACAAGAAATTACTACTTGTTGCAAGTCTTTAGAGTCTAACTACAGGTAAACCATTAAACTAAATTAAGTAAACTTTACTATTTAAAACTCTAAACCCTTTCCTTGCCCTGATACATTCACATGAACAGACAAAAAAAACAGGGAACAAACACAATGGGTGAAGGAAAAACTAGGGAAACAGTTCCGTGGTCTTTGTTCCCAAGATCTGTAGGGTTTGGTTGTTGCTGATCCAAAGGTTTCTCCTTGACTTTCCTTTTCCTGATGCTTCTATTGGTTTGCATCTCTTTTCACTTATAAAAGGTCTCTTTCAAGGTTACACTTGCAGCATCTACTGAAAGGAAAATAAAATGGTTTTCCTCAGGTTTCAAGTGGCTTACTGCAAAGAAGTGCGAGAGAGAGTTTGGCTGCTGTAGACCTGCTGATACTTCTCTTCTGATATAAGGAATCTTCTCACTGTCTTACTCATGGCCCGAGCTGTTCAGCAACCTGACAATCAGTCATTTTGTTATTGGCAGACAGAGCACCTTGGTCATTAATAATTAGTCCCTAGTTCACTATCAATCAGCTTCATTTGTAAACAACCACTCAGCTCCAGTTCATCTGCACATTGCTGGAATCCACAGCTACACAAATTGGGTTCATAAAAGGCACAAAATTCCTAACTTTCAAAACATGCAGCCATCCTTAAAAATTCTTGGGTTTCAAAACAATTCCTTTTTACTTCAGTCCACAGTTTTAAAAAGTACAAAAATAATAAAGACATTGTATTTACAATATGTACTATTATAAGAAAAGTGGAATAAACCTGTTTAGCTGGGGCATTTGAATTCTACACACATGCATCAGTCACTGTCTTTCTTTGTCTTGCACAACATCTGGTGATGAAGACAGGAACACAGATAGCCTACTTGTATAAATCTGTTTGGGGAAGCTTCCAGAAAACCAGCAGAGCAACTTGATATTTTTTTCACTGAGAAATAAGCTTAAAAATTCAGTCTGAGAGAGAAAAGGCTGTGTGTACATGTTAGTGGAATGGCCTTCAAAGATGGCTGCATCAATAGGGCAACTAGGGATGGGCAAGAAATGCTGGCCAGCCAGCGATGCCCACATCCCACAAAATGAATAGAAAAAAAAATAGGTTTTACTGGGAGACTGGGACAGTATAGTCTTGACTGACCGTCTTTCTGAGCATTTGAGGCATGGTTAGAGATACTTCTCACTGCCAATAATATCCTCCAAGTTCCTGATGATTCAACTGTTGATCAGATAGCAGGGAAAGGAAAAGGGCAATATCTTTAAATGGAAGTATACCTTGAAGTGCATTAAAAAACCTGAAGAATTTGCTAAACTAAAAAATACACCACTTTTAGACAAATTGTGTCAGCTTGAGCAGTACTACAGTCGTAAGTCCGATGGAAATTGCTGAAAGCTATTGATTTGGAACCAGTTGGCCAGTGGGCACATTGGAAAGTTTACTAAGGCTTTGAAAAAGCTATCCCTTCACTGTGACTTTGGAGAATTTCAAGAGAAAGCATAGAGGACAGATTGATGTTCAGTTTAAAAAGTGAACACATCCACAGTAAGTTGTTGACATTGCCAATGTTAATTTCCAGTGTAGGTTGCAAGGCAACATTGTCCTTGAACATGGCAGAACGCGATTACTAGTGAAATTAGAGCTAACAACTGCCAATCATCTGCTGAAGTAAAGTAGCTGCAGCTCAGTATGCCAAAAGCCCCAATGAAGGTAGTTTCTGTTTTCTCCTTCACAGATGCTGCCAGGCCTGCTGAGCTTTTCCAGCAACTTTGTTTTCATTCCTGATTTACAGCGTCCGCAGTTCTTTTGGTTTTTCTTGAAGAACAGTGTTCAATGGAATTGGAAGGTGGAATGTGACAAAGGATCCTGTTCATATGAAAGTAACCTGGTACATGCCAAAATGCTTGTACATTACAAAGTGTCTAAAAAGATTAAGCTAGCCTGTGATACCTCTCCATACAGCATAGGTGTTGTGATCTCACACGTACTGGATAATGGTGAGGTCAGAGCATGTGCCTTTGACTCATATACCCTCAGAGCCAATGAACAAAATTAAGAAAGAATTTGAAGGCTTGTCTTAGATTTTTGGCAAAAGAACATTTCACAAATACTTATACAGTCATAGTTTACAGTCAAAACTGATCAGAACCACAAACAGCTATATTGAATCCAAAGTCTTCAGTACACACTTTGTTTGTAGTCTAATTGCAGGGTTGGTTGTTGATTTTGTCTGCTTATCAGCATGATCTGAAGTACTGATGATTGAAATGCCACAGTGATCACTATGAGATGCCTAGATTACCATCCCCATCATGGGTAGAATCTAATAGGAAAAATGTACTTTTCTTCTAAGTTGCCAGACACAGCAGATGATATTGGTAGAACAACATGTTTATTGTTGACACCCTTTATTGAAAAAAGGTGTATGTGTATTTCCCGCAGATACTAGTTTTAGAGATTGGGCAATTTTTTGTAAAGGAGAAGAATGAGTTGTCAATTGATAAATATTGCGTAATGTAAGGAGTCAGTTTGTAATTTAGGGATGTGTTTGAAAAAGAGTCCAGCCAGAAGCTCCCTTTGGTGGCCAGGATTACATAAGGACATAGAAGATACAGTGAAACAGTGCAGACTTGAAGCTGCCATAAATACCTTTGCAACCCTGGAAATGTCTAACAAGGGTGCGCTAGAGGCTAGCTTACTGACTTAGCAGAATTTGAAGTGATTAGACTAATGAATTAAACAACAACTAGCAAAACCCAAAATATTTTGCATGATTTGTTTGCCACTTGTTTATGGGTTCCTGAGAAAATTATGTCTGACAATGGGCATCAATTTTGTTCAGAACAGTTTATAAATGTCCAGAGAATGAATGGGGTAAAAGACACAAACATTCCACTAAGCCATCCTGCTTCAAAGAGAGCAGCAGAGCCCACAGTGCAAATTGTTAAGCATGTCCTGGTTAAACAAATTGGGAGAAATATTTTTGAATCACAAAATGATCATAGTTTACTTATCATAACACACTCCACTACATGACTGGCTGATCACCAGTTGAATTGTTTATTAGAAGACGGGTTTTTACTGCTGAAGCCACAGTTAGCACAGTCAGTGGGAGAGAAACAATCCAGCCAGAGAGCGATGATAGAGGAGAGTGAGAGAAATAGGTCTGAAGTTTAACCAGAAGGTCATCATCATAAAATGGTGGAAGTGCCTAATCGGGAAGAATCATGAATGTATGTGGTCCTTGCACACATTTATTTCAACATATTTAATAGAAGTGAGACTAGATTTGTACATATGAATAATGATTTACCTTCATTGGTCCAGGGAGACAAAGGGAGTTTGGAAGAATCAAATGAGTCTGATGAGTTGATGGCTGGATATGAGTTGAGTATCAATATTTCCTCCAACGCAAGTTGTACCTGAAACCAATTCAGGTCAGAGTCAGGTGTTTCTGATGAATTGGAAAATTTAATTGAAAGTCAGGGCATAATCAGTGTTTGTCAGAGAAAACTCCTCAAACTCAAGCCTAGATTACTCAAGTTCCTTCTGGAGTTCAGAAAGTTTGGATCAAGAAAGGAGTTGTCTTGTGAGGAATAAGAAACCAGTGGTTAAGTTTGATTTATAAATCAATGAAAAATGAGAAATGTATATAAGTTGTATGGAATTTGGTGTGTTACTTCATTAAATAGGTAGGAGTGTAACAGCATCCTCTTGTGGCCATTTGTGTGTGTATTATAAGAGACCACGTCTTTTATTTTTGGACTATGGATTGAAAATGGCAAGTACACAGAGTTATTTGCAGCTTTGGGGGAACAAGGGAAGCTAATTGGTGCATGTGAAACAATGTTACTTTGAGGTTATATTGAGTCCAGCCAAAGTGGCATTATTTGTTGTGGACTCAGGAGAACTCAGCATAGTAACAAGCCTTGATTGTTCAAGTGACAGTTTAGGACATGCTTTGTGAGGAGGTGAAATCAGACAGAGAGAAGCAAGGAGACCTCCTGAAGTTAACTGGATGAATCTCCAATTTCCTGAAGAAAGAGCAGAGCAACTACATTTAGAGACACTCAAAGAAATCAATCATTCTAGAATGCAAAGGATCCAACCACGTAACCAGTGAACTGCAGACTGATCATTGCTGTGCTGATAATATCAACACACCATTGAAGAATTGAGGATTGTGAAACCAACACATTTAGTTCTCTAAATTTGGAGTGATGATACAGAGCTGTGTTCCCCTGACGATTTTCTCCTTTCACTATTTTTTTTTCCTTTGTGTTAGTGTGTATGGGAGGGGTGAGTCTTTAAAGGGGTAAAGTCTAAGTTACATGAAATAGAAATCATGCTCTTTTCCTGTTCCTGTTAAAGTTTAAAAAGTGTCACAACAAATAGTTAATTTGTATTGTTACTGAAAGAACCTGGTATGCTTCATTTTTATCTTAAGTAGCAGTCAGTCAGAGGCAAATTGGGATTTTAGCAACTTTCACATTCATCACAATTTTGGAAATTGTGGAATGGGAGGTGCTGGCCTAGTGGTATTATAGCTGGACTGTCAATCTAGAGACCCTGGTAATGTTCTGGAAACATCAGTTCGAGTTCTGCCATGGTAAATTGTAGAATTTGAACTTAATAAAAATCTGGAATTAAGAGTCTAAAGATGACCATGAATCCATTGTCAATTGTTGGGAAAAATCTATTTGGTTCACTAATGTCCTTTAGGGAAGGAAACTGCCATCCTTGCCTGGTCTGTCCTACATGTGACTCCAGACCCACAGCAATGTGGTTAAACATTCTGGGCAATTAGGGATGGGCAATAAATGCTGGCCAAGCCAGCAACGTCCAAATCCCGTGAATGAATTAAAAGAAATTTGGTGCTTGATTTCCAGCATACCACGCCTATGAGTTGGGACAGTATGTGTATAAGCAAACTGGAATAAACTTATTTAGTTGGGTACTTAAAAAAAACATACGCATGTACTAATCTCTCCTGCAAAATATCACAATCATTTTTTAGCTGTCCAAAATAAATGTGTATCAGTTTTCATCCCTTTTGCTCTAATTGAAATGGTGTATTCTGCATTTCATGGTCAAAGTGTAATGCTATGCTGTTACAAAACATTATTCAGAAGCATTTAAGATGTGAATGTTTTAAAATAATAATTTTTTCAATACTCTCCATGTAGCCTGTAACTGCAGTTTGGAAGGAACAGAAAGGCCTGCATGTGACAAGACAACAGGTGACTGTAACTGTCGTGAAGGTGTAACAGGGCAACGTTGCAACAAGTGTGCATGGGGTCACTGTAAGGAGTTTCCAAAATGCACAGAGTGTCATCCTTGCTTTAAGCTGATAGATGAAGAGATATGTTCCATCATCCCAGCCACTGAAAGTCTGCTCAAGAAGACCAACTTTGTGCCTGGGCAAACTTTGGGGCCTTCCTATGATGAAAGGCTTAAAAAGCTAGAAAGGAAAATTGCTGTGGTTGCCAACAATTTAAATGACTCAGTTGCTTCTGCTGACGTATTTGAAAGAACAAAGGATTATTTTGAACAGATCAGGTAATTTACTTCCATTTAGCTGACTGTACTGAGAAAGTATTCATTGATTGCAAAATTTAAGTTTTATAACTTTCCCTCACAATAATTGATACTTGACTATTTTAAATCTACTGCATCACAGAATTAATTTTAAATTTAACAAGAGGCAAGCAACATATGTGTGTACTCCAGTGACTGAAATGGATATAAGCCCAGTTTGACATGATGGTGCACTTACAGACAAGTTCTGACCCAGTTGTCATTGGATACACCACATAATGGCATCTTTCCATTACATCAGGAACCCAAAGTTCTTTTGATTTTTCAGTTTGAACTTTGCCTACTATAATGTTGTGATGTGGTTGAAACCCTCACAGTTAAGAGTCAGCCCTCTAGCAGTTTGGTTGTGGAGTATTTTAGTTAATTCAGATTGTAGGCAAAGATAATTGCGTCTTTATTCGATACTTGCAGACTGTGAAGAGTGTTTTACAAGGTTTCAATAAATAAAAAGAAAGGTAAAGTATGAACTAGAGATGAAAAACTAACTGCTAATACTTCAGCAGTTGATATAAGATGGTTTACATTGAATGTTTTAAGGATATAGTTTTCTTTGAAAATATCATAAACTAGAATCAACTATCTTTAAACCTTCTGACACATATGGTGTGCAGCGCAGTGTGGAGTGCAGTGGAAGCACCACATATTAGGCAAGGACCTGGATACGACCAGTTCTGACATGCTCAATGCTGTGTGAGAGCTGGAGAAATCCTCTGTCCCAAACAGTGTCTGTGATGTGGCCACTGCACAGGACCACCCAGATTTCCTCAGCTCAACATTGGTGAGCTGACAAAAGTAGTCACACCCAACCTGCAGACTGGAGGCTGAGGCACACACCTTAGATGTTCCACCACCACCCCTCTCCCCTCTGAGACCACAAAGTTGGGCAGGGTCAACACTAGATATTATTTGCAGGAGGAACATAGTATTTCTGGAATCAGAGGCTCATGAGTTTTCGGGAACAGTCTATTCTTCCACTTTTGGAGTTTTTGAACAGACATGTAATTATAAAAATGTGAACAGTAAATTAATGTTATAAAGCTACAGTGTGTAAAACTAACATCAATGTCAACGTTATCATGGATTTCACTTAGGTCATGAACTTCACATCCATTGACATTTCAATGGTATTTACAGGAGCCTGAAACCCTAAAGGTGGTGGTCAGAGCATTACCTGTCACTATCAATATGATCTGTGTACTCCACATAATTGTCAGGCAGCTAATTTGGGCATGCCATGGTAAACATGCAGAGTGTATGGATCAAATCATAAAACAGCCTGTCTGCTAGTTTTTCACAGTGCCATTTTGGATCATACAGTTCAAGTCAAGGCTATCTCTTAAACTCTCCCAAGCGCAGCTGGATTTACCGAATTAAGTTTCTCAATTTTCAAGATGAAACATGAACCCATCTGTTCCAAGTTGCTAGTCAAGTGTCCCAAATACTAACTAGCGGCCCTGTAATTTAGTCCCAAACAACTAAATCTAAATTTTAACTTTAAATTGCAAACTTTTATCTCTTGATTGCACAAAAATCCAACTCCGAGTTCTAAACTGCAACCTGAAGCTCCACACTTGATATTACATCCCCTTTCAATTGGTACAGATGGGTTTTTCCAGTTTCAAAAAGTGGAGAGAAAAACAGCTTAAAGAAACATCATAAAAAAAACATGTGGAATTCCATTTATTGCGTACACTTTCAATGTCCATGTAGAACATCAACCTTTTTGCTCTGTTTTTAGGGGGTTTTGGGCAGTATAGAAAGTGTTTGAAGATCAGATGAGCTTTAATAACTTCCTGGTTATTAGTTAGTTTATATTACACTGTGGTTGGGTTCCAATCCCAATCTACTATTTTGGGTGGCAGCCTCAGATGAATGTAAAGAAACTAGTGACAGACTACAACACATGTGGTCCTAATGTTTAGGTTTAGATTTAGATTTATTTATTTGTCACATGTACTAAGTATAGGAATACATAAGTACAGCAAAAAGTGCAGAAAGTCGCCATTCACTGGTGCCTACTTGGTTACAAAAACCAGAATTAAAAGATTTTAACAGATACCAAAAGTTAAGCAAAAAAAAAGTGACACAGATACCAAAATATCAACTATGAAATAAAAACTCAGTTGAATATTTATTAAACAACAAGTAAAGTATGGACAATGTGTTAATTTTTTTTGGAACTTGTTCAGAGAAACCAAAATGCAGATCAATCCACGCTTGAATATTTCAAATAACACTGAGCAGCATAATCAAGATATTGATGATTTGAATGAAGAAATTGACAAGCTCAATCAGAAAGTGAATAGAATCATAAAAAACTCCACAACAGAAGCTAACGTAAATGGTAAGTGTACCAGTGGAAGAACCATTAAACTAACATACCTTTGGTGTATGCCCATGTTAATTGAATGCTGGATTTAGCTGATTAAAATGTTCATTACTAAAATTAAAGTAATATGTTGAAACAACCAAGTGTTTTACAATTGTATGTTGAAATGTCCAAGTGATAAACCTTAAGAGATGTTAATTCTTTAATTGAAGTAAACCAGGTCTGCTCAGAGCAGTGTTAAACAATGGTTGTCACACAATTGTCTTTATTTATTTTATACAGTATATAGTCTTGACTGGCCAGCACAGTATTTTTTTGGTAGATAGGATTTGAGGCAGATTGAAAGTTTCCAGTCCCTGATCTGGTCTTTCGGCCAGTTTGTCCAGCTGCTCCAATTCAGCTTCTGGTCAATGGTAATTCCCAGGATACTGATAGTGGGGAAATCCAGTGACGGCAATGTCATTGAATATTAAGAGGAGATGGTTAGATTCTCTCTTGTTGGAGATGGTCATTATATGGTACATGTGTAATACAACTGTTGTTTGACACTCATCTGCCCAGGCCTGAATATTGTCCAATACTGCCTATATATATTTACACAGACTGCTTCAGTATCAGAGGAGTTGAGAAATCTGCTGAATATTGCATAACCAGCAGCAAACATTCCCACTCTGACTTTATCATGGAAGGAAGGTCATTGATGAAATAAGTGAAGACAGTTGGGCCTAGGGCACCATACTGAGGAACTTCTGCAGCAATGTCCTAGGTCAGAGATGATTGACCACCAACAACCATGACAATCTGCCTTTGTGCTAGATATTATTTCAACCAGTGGAGAATTTTTCCCCCACTCCTGGTGACCCCATAGGAGTACATGAAACAGGAACAGAAGCAGACCATTCAACACCTCAAGCATGCTCCACCATTCACTCAGATTATGGCTGATCTGTTTGTGTTGTGACTTCCACCTTTTCAGTTCCTTGACTCTCTTGTCTATCTATCCTTGCCTTCAAAATATTTAAAATGTTTTTATTTTCCAGAATAACCCATGATCAGGCATCTTATCAACTGCCTTCTGGGAATCAATGCCCACACAATTGTCCTTTTTAGGATTTAAAACAGAAGTTTTACACTCAATCTTCGCCCTTTCAAACTAGCTGTAAAATTTAAGCTGGTACCAATGGGTGCCTTTATTCTGATGTCATTGATTAATCCTGCCATGTTACACAATACCAAACCTAGTATAATCTACTCTCTGGTCAGTTCCAATATGTGCTGCTCTATGAAACCCTCCCAAAAGCATTTTATCAATTCTTCATCCATGATTCAATGCCAATCTGATTTTTCCAGTTTACATGTAGATTAAAGTCATCTGTGATTATTGTCGTCCCTTTATCACAAACATCCAATAATTCTTCTTGTCTCCTATGTCCCACATTGTAGTTACTGTTAGAGGGTTTGTAGACCACTCCCACAACTGATTTCTCTCCCTCATCTCTACCCAATTGATTCTACATTGTGATCTCATGAACAAAGGTTATCTCTAATGATTCCACAGGTGCCACCCTTGATCAAAAGAACTACTCCTCACCATTTACCTAGCTTCCTACACTTTTTCATTGCCAGATATCCAATATTTAGGATGCAATCCTTATCCTAAGCTATGTCTCTATAACAGCAGAATTCCAAATCATATTTATTTGCTTCAATATATGCTATCAATTCATTTACGCAATGAATGCTAGACACATTCAGATATAAAGGCTTTAGTTTTGACATTTTGTTAGCTTTCTAACATTTAGTATTGATTTTTGGTGTATTTCTAGGTATTTGTCTCTCTGTCCCTTCCTACCATTCTCTGACCGTCATTTCCCAGATTACAGTTACTTACTCGGGTCTCCATTCTTTGATACACCACATATTTCCATATTGGATGTTTTGCCCTCATACTTAGTTAAAGCCCTCACCATCTCCCTAGTTTTACAGTCCACAAGAACACTGTCCCCAGCACATTTCAACTCAATGGTTTCCAAATATACAGCCTCCACTTTCCCCAGTACTGGTACTAATGGCCATTTCTGTCATTCTACCTTTCAGCCATGTATTCATCTCTCTAAATTCAAGCTGCTCATGCCAACTTGCTCACAGCCCAGTAATTAATCCAGAAATTATAAGCTTTGATGTTTTGCTTTTCAATTTAGTATCTAGCTCCTGATACTCTATGTAAAACCTCTTTCCTAGTTCTACCTGCATTATTGGTCCTACATAGACTACAACCACAGGATCCTCCCTCTCACTGAAAAGTTCTTTCCTGCCTGAACAAATGTTCCACATCCTGGCACTGGGCTGCCAACACAGCCATCTGTTACATTCTTTCTTGTTCTCCCCACCTAAATGGGTTGCTGTACTCAGTGCCTTGGACAGTTTGGTCATCTACTGTCGAGCCTCTGTTCTCATTCAAACAGGCTGAGAGAAGGTCACACCTCTTGGACAATTGCAGAGGTTGACATTCCTGCTCTCTGGGTACTCTTACCTGTCTTACTCACAGTCACACCACCCTGTCTATGGTCACTGAACAAATGGAAAGCATGATTGACTGCAATACAAAGGTAATGATCTGCCCTCATTGATGTATCATAGCATCCGTGTTTAAGTCTCCAACTCAAACTCTGAGGTAAAACTCCTTGAACTTCAAACATACTGCATATGTATTTGTCTTGGATCACAATGTATCCACGAGCGTCCACATACTGCAGGCTTGACCCAAGGTTAATCTAATTTACTAGGCCTTTCATTACCAAAAAGATATCATGATTGAGGAAAATACTGTCCAGATATCATTTTTAATAGAATGACTGCTGGCTAATCTAGTTTCTTTGTGTCAGGAGTATCACATTTTGTTTTCATGCTGATCTGGGTAAGTACAGCTAACAATTTAATTAAATGATTAAATGAGCTTCAATAATTAAAGGAAGACACTTCTGGGAATAGGTATTAACAAATCTCACTTTTCTTATTAGGTACTTGTTTTGTGATAATTAATGAGTTTCAATTCATTAAATTATTCATTTATGTAACTTTTATATGTTTTATCAGCTTTACCACCAATTTGTATAGTATGTTAAAATTTAAGGATAAATAAGACCTCAACCACTTGCCAGAGACTCATAAAACAGTTCGCTCCTTTCTCTGTAGTGGAGCAAGAAATAATTCCAACATCACCAAAGAATTTAGCTTGAATCAATGACTCTAGTATCTTCAGGGCTCTTTGATGTCACACTCCTTCAAATGGTGCCTTGTACTCTCCCCTCTCCTGTTGCATTCAGCTCTTTTGTCCATGTTTAGACCAAAGTTGCAAAGAGGTCAAGAGTTGAGTGGCCCTGGTAAAAGCCAAACTCGATGTCAGTGAGCAGTAATTGCTAAGTTAGTGCCACTTTATATCTCTGTTAACAACCCCCTCCATCACTTTACTGATGAAGGAGAGCGAGTCAAGGGTTATGGGGAAAGGGCAGGAAAGTTGTACAAAGGGAACACTGGATCAGCCATGATCCTATTGAATGGTGAAGCAGGCTCGAGGGGCCAAACAGCTTGCCCCATTCCTATTTCGTATAATCTTATGGAACCGATGGGATGGTAATTGGCTGGGTTGGATTTGCCATGCTTTTATACAATCTTAGAATATTTTCCATAAAAGGGGCATTTTCTTCCTGAGAAAGTGATCAACAAGCTTTTTAAATCGGTTTACAAGCACTTAATCCAATTATCTAAAATACGTACAAATTGTATCTCTGCAACATTTGCAGGAAGATATTGTTATAAAACACATACCTGTTATAGTTATTTTCTCTCGCTGAGAAAATCGAGATTAGCTAATACCTATTCCCAGAAATGTCTTCCTTTAATTATTGAAGCACATTTAATCATTTAACTAAATTGTTAGCTGCACTTACCCAGACCAGCCTTAAAACAAAACGTGATACTCCTGACACAAAGAAACTAGGTTAGCCTGCAGTCATTTTATTAAAAATTATATCTGGACAATATTTTTCTTAATCATGATACTTTTTGGTAATGAAAGGCCTAGTTAATTAGATTAATGCAAACAAAATGACACCAAATTTCAGAATTCTGATTTGGATGGACAATTGCTATGGAATTTATCGAGCATTGGAAATAAGATAGTTCTTTCCTCCCTTACTCCCCCAATCCTGCCTCACATTTAGGTGAATTCTGGTAGCTGGATTATATTTATAACTTTTTTATAGACCCATTAGCAACAAGATTTTTTTCCATTCTAGTGGTTGACAGCAAACTACCAACATATTGAGTAGTGTGATATTGTAAAACATTCACAATTGCTTTACATCTCACTCATGGATGAAACAGCTGTCACAAGTCTCAGGCAGGCTAGATGTTTGATTTATTCTATACTTAAGCCATAACTGTTATATTTACCAATATCCTTGAAACTCAGTTGTGCAGAACAGGAGCTATCTTATCTCAAAGGTACTTCAGATATATTGCTTATCAGATTTGGGTCTATCTTGTTTTCTTTGGAATGCTGATTTCAATTTTGATTGTTTGCTTTGCAGAACTTCGTTTTGCTTCAAGATATTTTCTTTGGTGAAGTTTGCAAGCAATGTTTATGTTGTAAAGATAGGGGTAGAAGGGAAACAATGTCGTGAAATTCCTTATCGTTCTTCTTCAGTTTGAACATTGTTTCTTTACTGTGTTAGTTTTCCATCCACTGGATATCTTTCACTGATCTGCTCCGAACCTATCCCATCAGTCACTAAAAGTAATAACCCCACTACCACCAATGCCCCCATCCCCCACCCATGGCTCTCCGATTCTCCTCCACATGCTCTTCCAAACACCTTCAGTTACCTCTGTTCAACCTCCCTCCTTCCCCACACCCGCCCCTCCCCAACCCCCACACCTGTACTTCCTCACCTCTTTTGGCAAGAACTCCTTGCTTCCTGTACAGGCCGGGCTCAACACTGCTGAAGGGTGAA